AACACCCTCTGGACGAATCCCACGTCCAGCCGCTCCGTCAGCGGAGGCGCCCATGGTCTCAACTTGTTGAGCACCATTTTGTATGGGCGCCCCCACGGATCCTCCTGTAGGGAGTCGAGGAACTCCGTCCACGCCCTGCCCTTTGCCACGGTGATGGCCCGCCGGAGGGCTACCTTGGCCTCAAGGTAGCCCTCCCTCGCCTGTTCGGCCGCCTGCCCGCCCCTGCGCCTGCAGCGGGCGAGTGCCCTCCCCCGGTGGACGGCGCGTCGACGTAGGTCGGCGATCTCCGCCGTCCACCAGTGGACAACCCGCCGAGGCCGAAACTTGGATCGGGGCATCGCAGCGTTGCACGCCGCTGTTAGCACTGCCCCGATCCATTCGGCCTCCCGCAGGGGGTCCGTGTTCCGGGTCTCAGGGGGGTCTCCCCGGACCCAGCAGGCGGCCTCTGGCGAGGCCATCAGGGCGTCCTCATGGAGCTTCTTGAGGGCCCATCGCGGTCGTGTTTCTTGGCGACGCACGGGGGAGAGGGCACCGAACTCCACCGTTATGTAACGGTGATCCGACAGAGTCTCGGTGCCCTCATCCACCCTCCACCCCGTGATGAGGCGCGCGGCCGAGGGGGTAGCCCACGTGATGTCCACGATGGACTCCCCCTGCGTCCGCACGCAGGTGGAGGTCCGGCCCTCGTTAACTAGGACCAGACCGTGCGCCGCCGCCCAACGAGCCAAGGCCCTGCCCCTCTCGTTGTCTCGCCGGGAACCCCAACTCGTGTGCCACGAGTTGAAGTCCCCGGCAACGAGGACCGGCTTGGGACTCAGACTCAGGACTGTGTGTCCTATGTCCTCCAGCCAGCCCTCGAACGGGGCAAAGCTCTTGGTGGGCCTTAAGTAGACCCCCACGACCGCGATGGGCCCCCATTGAACGGCCACATGCCGCTCACCGCTTGCGATGGCAGTCGTGTCGGGACCTCCCGGCACCGACCGCCATCGCATCGCGACCGAGTCCCCCGCAGCCCCATTGTCGACAGCCCAAAATGGTCTGCCGTCTCTGGGGGGGCGGTGGGGCTCGGCCACGATCGCCAACGTGAACCCCCATCCCACCATGCTTTGCTGGAGTAACTCCTGCGCATGGTGGGAATGGTTCACGTTGGCCTGAATCAGGCCATATCCGCCCAGATTCGGGCGGGGGGGATGTCGAGGCATTACTGGG